AGATCGAGGCTAAAAAATCTAAATATCTTTACATTTAATTATATATTCTTATTCCTTGTTTATTAGTATTCCTTCTGCATCTATCTTGTATTTCTAATAACAAACGGAAGTAAATTTTTACTTGATATTTCCAGCATCATTTGCCGAGAATCTATTTGTGATGACCTATTTCATTAAATCAAAAAAATAAAAATAAAAATTCTTAATTCTTGGGCTTTAATATATGCAAATATTCAAATTTAATATTCATGCTCTGAAAAAAACGTAAAAAACATTGAGCTGGAATACAAGTTAGGATCGAAAAACTTTCAGCATAAGTAGTAAGCAGAGAGAGAGAGAGAGAGAGAGAGAGAGAGAGAGAGAGAGTCTGTGAGAACATATTTATGACATTCTTACTTATAAGGTATATAGTACTTATAGTATAAGTACGATTTAGCTTGTGGTCAGGGTCAAGCACTCCCCGCTGGCTGAAGCCATAGGCTTAATTCCTGAATCGAAAGAAACTATTCAGATACGCGCAGTATATAACTATATATACTATAATAGCTGACCCCGAAATTGCGATGCGCTGGAGTTAAGGAATATACTAGTCGAGCAGCCCTACTTGCTTTATGCACAGACTAAGCACATATGTGCTATTACTATTAAGAACATAGAACTAGAATCTCTATCCAGAGAGAAGGAGAGAGAGAGAGAGAGAGAGCAGCTATGTAAGTGAATGAGTTAAGGTATATGCTAGTCGGGCAGTGCTACTTGCTTTCTGTACAGGTTAGTCGTATTCTCACTATGAAACAAATATACAGAGTGATTTCTATTTCCATAAAAGCATAGAAAATAGACAATAGAATTCCTCTCCAAAGAGAGAGAGAGAGAGAGAGAGAGAGAGAGCTGCTTTGTAAGCGCAAAAGTTAAGATACATATATGCTAGTCGAGCAACCCCAGTTGCTTTAAGCACATGCTAACCATATTCATGCCATGAAATAAATGTTAAAAGTATTTACCATTAGCCTGATAAAGTTTTTTAAACGTTTATCGTATGGAAAAGCAATTTGATTCGAAACAAATATAAATTTGCAAGCATAAAAAAGGCATTGATTGAATAGGCTGAGAAAAACTTGTTTACAGATATATTGCGGTATATACATACATATTTGCATATATGCAAGTATTTGTTTGCTGACATCTATTATGCGGCATATTATTGAAATTATGAGTTTGATAAATTTTACAATTTACACACATTGTTTGCCAATTGCTGGACTGAGGCTCGCTTTGCATTGTTGTTGGTATTCAAATTGGCTTTTTCTGCGGGTTTGCCCTTGGCACAAAAACCGAATATTAATTTAGTATTATATTATATTAATTACTGATTAATTGTGCCATTTTTGTGTGAGATATCAACAAATTATATGCAAAGAGTAAATAAAAATTGATTTGTCAAACGAAAGGTAAAAAGTCAATAAAACAAAATGCAAATAATTCCTTGAAAGCGAGCCAAAGGCAAACAATCAAAATTAAAAAATAAAAAAATTCTTTATAAAATATT